GTTGATAAAACCAATCGCGCGACGTATTATCAGCTTAGAATTGCAATTTGCTCTGCAAACGAAAGGAGACGGCAGTATCTCATTACCTCCGCGTGTGTAATTAAAATTTTTCCCCGACCGTATATAAGGAACAAACGATGACTGTTGATCACTTTGCATATCCGACCGGGTAACTAGCCCTGCTGATTTCAATGAACGCGAATCGAAGTAATTCGCGGCAAGTAATGAAGATTTACGAGGCGGATCATCTCGCGGCTTTGCATTAAGCTATTAATATCAATCCTCTAGCTTGGCTAGATTACTTACCACGTTTGAAAGAAGCGCGCTTATTAAATGTTATTTATTGCAACGATGATTCGTTTATTAAAGAGATTATTAGACGTATACTTGGGCCGCATTGGTACCAGACCCTAGATCGTAATAAATTCATACTCGTCGCCGCGCAGCAAACGGTACGAACGACACTAACGTTGTAGCAGCCATGGGGTATTTTTATTACGCCGATCGATCATTAGACAGATCAAACCCCGCGGATATGATTATTCAGGCGCGAGACAGGGATTTATAACGGGATTCGTCGAATCATGCGCGGAAAGATTGTTCTTTTCGAAACAACGATAACGATAACGACGACTTTTATTGTTTCATCGACACTTGATGTTTTTCAGTAACGAAACCAATTACGAGGCCATAGTTTTAATAAATTTCGATGTATTTCATCAGTGAAATGACCAACCGTGCACGTGTGTATATTAATTGCTGTGAAACAGATTACCGTGTTCAACCATTCGCGTAATTACCCGCCTGTGAAACGATGGACCCGATCGTTCTAGCCAATAGCCTCTTCCAGCGCGGAAAATTAGAAAAAGATTAAAATTCTACGGTGCTCGCGATAAATTGGAGTGGCTTAAGTTATGAGAAAAGACGTTGATAACGCTGGCGATCATCGCGGAGTACCATCTCGAGTACAGTCTAAATAATTTTCGAGCGGATTGAATCTTATTTCAGTAGATATGGACTGATTTAATAAAAATAGGTACTTCTGATTAATTCATGAGTAATTATTAAACTATCAGGAATAAAATTCTGCTTTAATCGTTCTACTGCGACGTAAATCCATGATGAAGTTACGATTTTCTGTTAGCATTTTCTAATTGTAAGTGAGGTGTGTTAAATTTGACACAATTTGAGAGAAAATGGGCTGAAAATGCAAGATGTTCTATATCTGTTGCAAACAGTATCGACGTCTAATAAGCTAGTTTCAGGAGGACATTCGATGATATTTTCATACGTCAAGATAATGTTCGTGGTTTGCTAGGTAAACCTAGCAAGAGGTACTAGATTTCCATGCATAATGCAAATACTTTCGAGCAGCCAGTATGTCCTGTATCCGAACACGGAGTCTATCTGGATTATGCCTTTGGGATCGCGGCTGTAACGAGTTTAACATGCTTCGAATTTTCTTTCTCTTTTTGCAATTTTTTTTTTCCTCGTTGCGCTGCCTTTTCCTTCAAAGTGCCGTACACTCGGCAGTGTGCTATCTCATTAGCGTTACTTTTGAATCGTTTTTTGCATTCTAGGAAATTTATTCCTTACTCTATTATAAACCTATTTTAAATTGTGCTGTAAAGATTTGGATAATTCTTCGAATTTCAAAGAAAATTCGACGTCGAGAATCTTAATTTGACGAGAAGAATGAAGGTGGCCGATCTTGTTACAAAATTTTTACTCTTAAAGCGTACACGCAGTTCTTTTTTAATATTGAAAGATTGTTTAAAAACGACTTCCCAAATGTTTGCATTTATTATCTTTCAATGCAATTTACAATTTAATGTGAACGAATATTTTACTAGGAAAGAAAATTATATGGTTTTATATCCAGCAAATTTAAACCCATTCCCCGTAAACTTTCATCGACGATGTTTTCATCGCATGATTACAAATGCCTGAAAAATTACAAGGACCGTTACACGACTTACATCCCTTTACACGCAATACGTTGATTCGAGACACGTTCGCATGCATTAACCGGCGAACGCGAATGGGGATATCTAGTTTCGGAATAATAATCGGAATGTCGTGAAATAATTCGATTCGAACGGGCATTGAATTCCTGGTTGTTCGATGCTTTCGCGGATGTTTATACCGATACGGGATACATATATATCCGGTACATGAAGTTCAAGGTTTCGGTACCGAATTTAATAAATAAAACGATCGAGAGTTGCTCGCTGCGTTCGTAGTTATAATGCAGTTATCGTTACGTAGAATGACGAAAGTTATGAGTAAATTGGTTGGGCACGTGGGCGCCTTATCAATATCGTGTTGCCAGCAGTTGTCTGATCGCGTGTATCTCATAGGTGGTTCGCTGCCAGGAACTTGTCAATGGGCCAGGAATACCTCTACAAAAAAGCGTTAGAACTTATTCAAAGGATACGAAGGTTCTTTCCTCGTTCGTGACAACGATCGAAACTCTGCATTTCTGTATCCTGACGGTGCGTTGACCTTTTAATTATGACATTTATTAAGTTAAAAACTTCTCTCTTGTCTTTTTTTTTCCAAGGAATCGAAGATTTATATTGTATTAACAGCACATAAATGAACAATTTGATTGTAATTGGTGTTAATATTTACCATCTATGGTTAATAGTTCATGTGATTGCAACATTTTGTTGCAGAATTCATTTCAAATTCTTTCCAAAGGATAAATTTTAATGGCGCAACGCGCACGATGGAGCACCGTTTGCGCGGACTGAAGTTCGCTATACAGTTGGAAGAGATGCAATAAAACCGACATGTTCGTCGTAAATGAAATGTTCTAATAAAATGGAGTAATTTATAACATACTTGTTGTTTCATATGTTTCAACGAAAACAACGAAATTCCTTGAAATTCATATTTACAGCAATCCGCATTGAACCCTTGCTGTGACCAACCCTTTAAGATTGCATACGACGCTTTCGTGGAAACTTTTTCAAGAATGAAAATAAAAGCGTAAAAATATGAAATTCACGCGGTTTCATCTATCGATATACATTAAGTAAAGTGTATCTTAAGTTAGGCTCGTTAATGCAGGGAGGAAGAACGATTCGAAGACTCGTTAACTTCAGCCATTCGAGTCAGCGACATGGTTGATGTTCGCGAAAAACACGCATCGGAAGAAAATTCTCAGTTGACAGGATATCTGGTATTCTTGCACTGATCGGCCATACTTAACGACGATGTACATACGTGCATTCTGCATGCACGCACGTGATGCTGCATATTCATAAGTTGTGGCTACGGTAGTTGCAACAACATTTCCGCGGCAAGCTTCAACACGTGCACCGAATAAATTCTTCGCACTTCTTAATGCTCGGCAGGTTGGACGATCAAAGGCGATTGATCTTATTTCCTTTCCAGAGTGTGCGAATTTTGACCAATAATCGCGCGTGTTCGATCGATTTTGGTAATCGTACGTACACTGAGAATGATTGATGTGTTATACAATGCGTGTGTAAATACAATAAATACGCGTAATTTATTTATTTATGCGAACGTGTTTCGAATGTTCGTGCCTGATGGCGTGTATGTGTGGCAAATTTTAAATATCTTAACATTTTGCAAGAGTCAGACAAATACACGACAGTACAGTTGTATGAAAATATTGATTGTAATGGGTAACGGAATTCTTTTGATTTGTTGTTAGTTGTTTTTACATAATAGTATATACTATATAGTATTTTAATTCGATTGTTGTAAATAGTGATGTTGATTCCGATGGTCAAGAGAAAAATTTTCTCTCCAGGATATTTCTTTTGTTTTGTCTTTCTGAATCGTCGACAAGATAAAAGAAACACACTGCATAAATTACGAACTATCTATCGATCAAGTTAATTAATCACGTTTGATTTGAATAACACTAATCTACTATTAATTAATTGTAATGACAGTGAGTTATTTATTAATTAAACTGCCAGATTTTGCGATTATGTACTATGCGATACGTATCTACTATTAATTTGATCTCTGTATTGGCATTTATTGGATTTACCAATAACTTTCTATGTCCAGTCATCTTTCAAAACATAAAATTTGAATGCATCATACATATATATGACAAAGAAAAAACGTGACCTATTATGGTCGTTTCTATATTGTAGGGCCGTTTCGATGAAAAAGGGGGAAAACTCGGTGCCAACGAACGGTGTGAAGTCAACAAAGGACGACGATGGTTGGGAAGTAGCCACAGGTAATGACCTCGAACTATCATCAGAGTCCATCATCCCTTGCTCCTATCCTCATGAACGATCGAGAGCCACGTCGAGGCCCCGTGGAAGTAATCACGAGGCCGTCGAGACGCTCTTACTCGAGCAAATGAAGGTCGTGCAGAAAATCAGATTAAAGAACAGCTTTAGTTTGCCCACGGATTTCCGGAACGATCGAAAGAAGGACGCAGTACCGAAATACACGATATTGAAACGAAACGCGGGAACCGATAACGATTGCAAGGTAGACGATGCGAGGACAGTTTTTAAAAAGACTGAAATTCGGTTGTCAAGCACGGCTAAAGCCGATTGTTGCGGTTCGTTGGTATCAGGTTCTCATAACTGCAAGCTGGAAAAAACGAAGAAATGTAATTCCAACAGTCAATCAATCGGTATCAGTCTGCACAAATCGGTTCAGGGAAAGTCGTTTGTTTCGACGAAGTACAATGAAAATGAAAGTCCGCTTTCCTCGAAGAAAACGTCTAGGGCGTCTTCGTCGCCTTCGGCTGGTCTAAAAATTCGCGCCAAAAAGCAGTTGAAGACAAAACCTGTAGTGGAAAAGAAATCGTATACCTCGAAAAATAGCTTTGAGGTTAATAAGGAAAAATATCTTTCAGATAGTAAGAAACAAAACGATTCAAAATGGTCTCTTCGATCAACTGATACTGGCAAAGGAAAACGTTTGCTCATAATATTGGCAAAAATTTGTTTTAGTATTCTTTTCTTTATTATATCGAGGTTAAAATGGACCGAGGGCGGCGAAACGTGATTTTCATTCGAGTTTCGAAGAATATTGTTAACAACTGAGCAATAACTGACCGTGCTTGGTATTCGATCGTCAGTTCCTTAAATCTACTTAAAACATAAATAGTCTTGATCAAATATTTCTAGAAAGTATTTATTTCATAATCGAAATGTTCTATACTGGATATTTGTTTTATATATTTTTTTAAAATTTTCTATTTAATGTTCCATATGATTATTTTTGTGAAATTGTTTTATTTGATGAAGATAATATATACAATTTATAATTCTAATATAATATAATTAAAGTCGGAACTAGACATGACAATACATTAGAAGTTCCATTAGAATTTTTAATTTATAAAATTTTTACAAATAATGGTTGTTAAAAGTATTTCGTGTGTTTGGTATTCGTGTTGTTGTTTTTATATAAGAAAATTATTTATCAGAATACATTTTAAAGGTATTTTTATAAGCTGGAAATTTTTTATATTTACATTTTTACATTTTATTTAAGACAACTTTTACATTTCTTTTTAGATATGAGACTATTACATCTCATTTAAGGGAGAGGGGGGAAAAAAAGGAAAACTTATACATACGTCGCTCGAAACTATGTATTTGAAACCTATTTCGTATAATAACTGAATTAATAGTGCTTAAAAGACATAAATTTATACTGTTTATACTACTACATAAGGTAACATATGAGAAATAATTTAAAGCTGCGTCGTATGTAAAAATTATGGTCATTTTGTAATCACAGAAAAACATTGTAATAGAAACATTTGTAATCGATATTAGACAAATGGTGATGGTTTTTTGATTCATGTGGATTATTTGGAAATATTTATTTTTATCTATTCTGTAGATTGTATTTATCAATTTACCAATTGATAATTGAATCTATTGCTCAAATTTCTACGCTATTTTTGAACAACCCATTTGAATTTTATTTAAATTTGTACTGATCCGTAATATTTACTACAGATTACAATATATACAATAAAATTATTCCAAATATTTCTTTCCATTTTTACTGTAGGATCTTAAAAAGTTTTATTTTATTTTTCAGCTGTGTGATAACAATATTCATAGTAATATTATTTTATAATCCTTTTTATCTTTGTGTTGCGCCAATTTCTTTTTTTCTTTTTTGTAACAAATCTTCAGGATACGTTTGAATAAAAATTAAATATTAGCGTTAACTAATAAACTCGAAGGGTTATGTCGTTGCGCATAAACCGACTTTTTGTCATGTGCACAGGGAAACGGCGTCGGAAGCGAAAGGACCATGCGGATGTAGATGCTGCACAAAAAACGAAGCCGGCATTGTTTCCTGAATCTGACTCCTGGGAGTAACATTATTCAAAAGAGCCAAGTCTCAGATTTTAACATATCGTTCACTGGAGTGACGGTGAATAAAGTTGAAACAAGCTGAAACAAATTGACGCTATCTTGTTGTATCATTTCTTGTTTTGTAATACCAGCAGAGAATCAAACTTCACGCAGCATATTTCTGTTTTACACGCTTAAAAGCATGAAACCACGTAATAAAAAAAATTAACTATATAGAAATTGATTTTTTCGTTTCATTTTTAATTTCTAAATTAAAAGCTTAATATCTAGAAATTATACCAGAAATTAACATTACCTTTTTTTCACGTTGTTTCGAACGTTGTGGAATACGTCGTGAAATTTTATGGTTTTATGTAGGTGACAATCAAACATTTTCACTAAACACAATATATGAATACAAATATATCACGACCTGTAAATTACATGCGTAGTTTAATATGCATTCAATTCATGTTGGAACTGCTTTATATTGTTAAGTATATAGCTCTCGAATAGATATACAAGTTTAACGAATTATTTTTCGTATAATAGTAAACTGTGTAGTCTATTATCAAACGTCACAATAAAAGCACTGGTTGCAAATGAATCGAAGTTTTATCGTATTATTAATTTCTTGAATTAATTTCTTCACCTCATGTGCCAATTTGCATGTATATAAGAATTTAATCAATAACTATCTTATTTCTAGAAGAAAGTATTAATACCCCTGGAAAAAGAGTATTTATGTATGTAAGTACATTTAAAGAAATAATGTTATTTCAGAAAAATTCGAGCATACATATGTTCATACGTTTATGATATTACAAAATGTATATAAATCTTACACTTTGCTATGAAATACTTTCGTAGCAACAAATAAAAGAAATTAATATTTATGTATTAATCTCATTTCCATGGAAAATATCTGATTTAAAATTCATTAAGATACTATTTACTAACTTAATGCCACTTTTATGGATTGCTTGACCAACGAAAAATGTTATTTAAGATCCGTTGATATATTTGCAGCTCTCTCTGCAATGCAGTTTCGAATTATTTGAGAACTTTAATAAATTAATAAGAAATTTAAAGTTCAGATATCATAAACGTTTGGGTTTCATGCACGATTTGCATTTGAAATATTTTATGATATTTATAACCGAGTATTTCTCGGAGTTTGTGGAAGCAATAAAATAGCATTTAATATCTTATGTGTGTGTTTCTGATTCTAGTCATTTTTATAATATGCGAATGATATCGATTCATACGCAGCAGTTAAATTTTCAGATTATATTCATGAGTAACATTTTTTTCTTATTTTACATTTTGAATTTCCAGTCGAAATTTATAACCAGCGATTGGAAATGAAATTTTGCTCCATCATGAGGATTAAGTACTGAATAAAACATTACGGGGATTAGACGAAAGAAAATAATTGGATATTATTACTTTATTCACTTTATTCTTACTCAGGTTCATTATTAGTATACATCAATAATTATTCATTCATTAAATATTCGATTATTACGACATATTATAAAGAATTTAATAAGACGAACGTCTTGAAAATAGTTATTCGTATATAAAATAATTGTATTAAACATTTTATATTTAACTATAATATATTTCTTATTAAATAATTGATACACTAAGTCAATTTCATAATCGATAAATCCCAGTTTTTAATGTTTAAAAATTACATACATAGACATTACTTATAGATTGATTTATT